GGGAATAAGAGGTGAATGATTTCCATTTCCCGACTTCCCCTTATGGTGGAAAATGACATATTTGGGTATGGATTGTTTTCATTTCTTTTCTATCTTTGATTGTCAGTGAGATTTCATGCCAGGATTGCAAGTAGAAGCCTAGAAGAGACCTTCTGGATCCTACAAGTTATCTTGGCACAAAAGACCTGAGCAACTCTAATGTAATTTAGATGATCATCACGGTATTTGCAGGCTATTCCCAACCTATGTGGACCTCTTGTTCTGTTGTGATTTGATCATGCTCTATTTAGACTAAAAGATAGAATTAAAAACATAGAAAAGGCCAGAAACTTCTAGTGGGAATCACCACCAATAAGAAATGTTAGGGGACCAAACATGATTTTGAAGAGTAGCATCTGGAAGAGAGAATTTAACACCTTTGTGGGAAAATAGTAAGGCTTCAGTTTCACTTATTAAACTGAAAGAGAAGCTGTAAATCAACATGTAAATCCCCAGACCAACCCTGTCTAATAGAAGTAGAAGGTGAGCCACAGATGTAATTTAAAACTTACTACTACCTACTTCAAAAAAAGTGGAAACAGGTGAAAGTAATTTAATAACATATTTTATTTAACCCATTATTTCCTGAATATCATTTTAACATTTAATGAATATAAAAATTATTAATGAGATATTTGACATTCTTTTATCAGACTAGGTCTCCACATCTCCATTTGAATCAGCCATATTTCAAGTGTTCAGTGGCCACATGTGGGTAGTGGCTGCCATATTGGACAATTTAGCTCTGGACTGTTAATCCTCCATCTGCATATGAGTTCTCTAAGAGGGACTCTTTTGAAGGATGAATTATTTCAAATGTTGTCAAATGTTTTCATTTCTATGTGATCTCGAGACTTGAAACTATGAATATATATGGGTGAATGGCTAGAAGGAATGAGAGTGAAGTCTGCTTTATGTTCATACATGTGAAGGCTACTCTTGGGTTTGCCCAGGCTGCCAAGGCTGAGCTTTTCTAGAACTATGACTTGTCCAGTTGCCTAGGTTGGACTGCCAGACACTGCAGTTTGCAATGTGCTATGGCTCTGTTGAAGGACTAGACTATTGGATATTACCTTAAGATGTCTTTACTCTCTGCTAGTGGCTGTCTCACTCCAGCTTGCTATCTAACAGCAGCTTTTGTCTCCTCTGCCGAAGATGCTAAGCCAGTGGACTGGTCCCATTCTAGGCTCTCACTGTTGGCTGGTTACTGACAGACATCTCAAGGAGGCAGACATGATGCTCATGGTAAATATGTCTTATAGCCAGAGTGAAGGTTGAGCAACACTACAACTCATTGTTTAGACTTAATCTCAATCTGGAGTGTGCCACATCAATAATATGTTATCGCCCTAGAAACTTAGCAGTTTTCTTAGACTGTTTAAGTTTCTCTCTGGATTTTAAGTTCAAAAAGTTGTTAATTATATATCTTAGTTCATGACACCATATCATTAGTTTGTATAGGCTTCTCTCAACCAAATGGCTGACTCACTTTTATGTCATCTGTCTATCTCTCTATCATCTATCCATCAATCTATCTCATTTATTCCCCAGTTCTCAATTTCTCACTGCCATTCATGTTCTTCTTCCTATTACAAGCAGTCATATTATTGTGTTTGATGGTATCTTTTTGTTTTTGTATATTTTTATAAGACATTAGTTCATGCATTCTAGTTTATATGGATATTATTATGTTAGATCATTCTATTTTCTTTTTTATCATTATGGCCTATTGTTTCTAAGACCTATCTATATAGCTATGTAAACATCCAGCTATTTGTTTCTAATTGCTGCAGAATACTTTATAATTGGCATTCACTATGTTTTACCTGTCTACCAGTGATGGGCTCCATGATTGCTTCCCATCACTATAAACAACACTGTGATAAATATCATGGGAGATGCCCTCCACTGTATAAAAGTATTTTTGAGAATTGTATCCAAAGAAGAATACTTTTTGTCATAAGGAACATTTAATTTAACTAAGTACTACTACCAAGTTATTTCCAGAAGGTCTGCCCCAGTCTATGCTTAAGCCAGCTGGCAATACACCCGTTTGGCCAACAACGGCATTATTCATTTTTCCAATTTTAATAAATCTAATGAAATTCTTGAAATTTTTTATGCTATTTTGTTCAAGTGTATGGTAAAACATAAAATTGAGAATCAAAACTAGGTGATGAAATCCAGTTTTCTATTCCTTTCAGAAACATTTGACTACATGCTGGTTGGTAGGGGACTAGAGGCAATAAAGTCACTTCCAATACTATGTTGAACAATACTATGTTGAATGAAAGTGGGGATAGTGGGCATCCTTGTTTTGTTGCTGACCTTAGAGGAAAAGTTTTAAGTTTTTCACCTTGATATTATTGAGTATGATATTAGCTGTGAGTTTGTCATAAATGGGCTTTATTATGTTGAGGTGCATTTTTTCTATACCCACTTTGTTGAGAGTTTTTTTTTTTTTTTAAATCATAGATACTGAATTTTGTCAAATGTTTTTTTCTGCATCTGTTGAGAAGGTCATATGGTTTTAATCTTTCCTTTTGTTAATGTGGTGTATCATGCTGATTGATTTGCAAATGTTGAGCCATCCTCGTTTCCCTGAATTAAGTTCCACTTGATCATGTCATATAATCATTTTAATGCATTGTTGAATTCAATTTGCTAATATTTTGTGTTAAGGATTTTTGCATCTGTCTTCATAAGGAATATTGGCCTGTAATTTGTGTGTGTGTGTGTGTGTGTGTGTGTGTGTGTGTGTTGTTTGTTTGTTTTTTTGTCTGGTTTTGATATCAGGGTAATGCTGGCCTTGTAAAATGAGTTTGGAAGTGTTCTTTCTTCTTCAATTTTTTGGAAGATTTTGAAAAGGGTAGGTGTTAAATCTTTGAATGTTTGGTAGAATTCACTAGTCTGATCCTGGACTTTTGTTTGTTGAGAGGCTTTTGATTACCAGTTCAATCTTCTTACGAATAATCAACCTATTCAATTTATTTTTATTTCTTCCTGAGTCAGTGTTAGAAGATTGTGTTTTTAGGAATTTGTCCATTTCTTCTAGATTGTCCAGTTTGTTGGCATATAATTGTTTGCTTATGATTCTTTGTATTTCTGTGATATCAATTGTAATTTCTCCTCTTTCATTTTGATTTTCTCTATTTGAGTCCTCTGTCTTTTTCTCTTGGTGAGTCTATCTAAAGGTTTATCAATTTAGTTTATCTTTTCAAAGGACTAGATTTTAGTTTTATTGATTCTGTTATCTTTTTAGTCTCTTTATTTCCATTCTGATTTTTATTATTTCCTTCCTTCTACTAACTTTGGGCTTCACTTATTCTTCTTTTTCTAGTTCCTTTAGGTGTAGATTTAGATTATTTTAGAACTCTCTTATTTCTTGAGCTAGGCTTGTACTGCTATGAACTTCCCTCTTAGAACCACTTTTGCTGTATGACATACTCATAGATTTTGGTATGTCATATATCTATTTTCACTTATTTCTAAATACTTTTAAATTTCTGCTTTGATTTCTTTGATGACCCAGTGACTGTACAGTAGCATATTGTTTAATCCTCAAGTTTTTGTGTTTTTTCCAGTTTTCTTCTTTCTCCACTTTGTCTGTTAATATTTGGCTTATATATTTTGATGCCCCTATGTTGGGTGCATATATATTTATAAATATTGTATTTTCTTGCTAGATTGACCCCTTTATCATTATGTAATGGCATTCTTTTTCTTTTATTACAGTCTTTGTTTTAAAGTTTATTTTGTCTGATATAAGTATAGTTTCATTAGTTTTCATTTTCTTTGCATGGAATATATTTTTCTATCCTTTCACTTCCAGCCTGTGTGTGTCTTTGGCTCTGAAGTGAGTCTCTGGTTGACAATTCATAGATGAGTCTTGTTTTCTTATGCATTCAGCCATAGCCTTTGATGAGAGAATTTAGTCCATTTACATTTAAAGTAGTAAGTGATAGGTATGTACTTACTGACATCTTAAAAATTGTTTTCTGGCTATTTTTGTAGTTCCTTTCTTCTTTTTCTTTCTTCCCTTATGGTATGATGAGTTTTTCCAGTGTTATATTTAGATTTCTTTCTCATTTTCTTTTGTGTATTTACTGTAAGTTTTTTATTTGTGGTTACTCTGAGGTTCACATATAACATCCTATGTATATAGCAGTCTATTTAAGTTGATAGCAACTTAAATTTGAATACATTCCAAAACACTACATTTTTACTCCACCCCTCATATTTTGTTTTTGATATCACATTTTACCTCTTAATCAACAGCCTGGTTTGTTCTTGATATGTTCCTGTTGCTGAGGGTGTGCCAAGACCTGTCAGTGTTCCAAAGGGAGGAATCCCATTTAGCACCTAGTTTCAGGCTGATGAGAAGCCAGACCCTTAGGCAGCAGCTTTTAAAATATGCAAATATATACAGTCCTGTGGGATCAAATTATAAACCCTAATGGCCTCCTGACCAGGAGATCTGGAGGTTAGTCCTGGGTGACAGTTGCAAAAACAGGGGTCCAGATGTGTATGTAAGCTCCTTTCTGGGAGGAATTGGCCAAGGGAATGTGCCAAGATGGTGTCACTTTGCTTACATTCCCTAGGAGTGCCTCCATAGCTTCTAGATGTATGTGAAAACTGAATTCTGCCTCTTAGGCTGAAGATACAGGATAAATAAATAGCCTTTTCACAGGAAGTCTGGGTTGTTTCAGTCTGGGGTGGTGGTGGGATGGTGGCCTGGCTGGGGGTGGTGGCCTGCCAAGACCATCTTTCTGATTGTTAAAATCTCTTGAAGTGCAGTAACTCCAGTCCCCTTGGCCACCTGAGCCAGGCAAACAATAGCATCTTCTGTCTGGTTTATGTGGACCTGCTGGCTTTAGTAGGGCAGTTGGAAAGTGTAGGGGTGGGACACACTTACCAGCTTCAGAAAAGGCAGTGGAAAAATGTCTTGACTGTCTTGACAGGCCTGGGAACTTCAGCAATGCTGCATGAGAGTACCCTAACTGTGGGTATATGCTTGCCTCAGGATAGAGCCTGAAGAATGCCATGGCTGCTCCTGTTTGCCAGCCCCAGACATGACACATGGTAAGTGTTGCAACTGCCCATGCTCACTGACTTTAGTAACCAACTGTGAGAATGCTATGATCATTGGTGCTCACTTGCTCACTTGCTCACTTGCTCTAGCCTGGGAGTAGTGATCTATAACTGCCTCCGCTCTCTGGCCTTGGCAAGGCAGCAAGACAGTGTCATGTCCACTCACCCTTTCCTGACTCAGTGAGGCTGCGGAGGGTGCTGTGCCTGAAGACACCACTAGCTACTAGTGGGGTAGGTGGGAAGCACACAAATGGCATCCACCAGTGCTTCCATCCCTGGAGAGCACTCCAACTGTCCCTTTCCCCTACAGCAGATTGCTCCAGATCCAAAAATGAATCTCCTTTACGTACAGTTGAGGCATTTTTTTCAAGTCAGTGCTTTTCACCAGATCCTAAGGCTAGTGAGACTGCCCACAAGTATTTTTATTATAAACTTTCAGTTTCTTAGGGCACTTTGGATCTTTTGGACATCAGCCCCATTGATTTCCTAAGCGAGACATTTTGGGGGGCATATCTCCCTAGGGTTCTGGTGTCTGTTTGGGGGGAGCCTCCCCTCATTTCTCTGGGATAAGTGCCAGACTTGTGAGATCTCTCGTTACGGAGGCAGAGGGTGGGATTTTTGTGAGAGTTTGTCTCTACCTCTCCTAGTCATCTTAATGTAGTTCTTTTATCCTTTGTTGTGGAGAAGCAGTTCCACTAGTTTTCAGAGGGAAGTGATCAGTATGTAGCTGTAGATTTGATGTGTCCATGGAGTAAGTGAGTTCACCATCTTCTCATTGTCGTCTTCAATCCCACCTCCCATTCATCATTTCAAATAGCTTCCTTATGTCCATGTGCTTACAAACTTTCAGTAGGCATTTGTTGGGTGAATTAGTAAATGAACAGCAAAAGAGAGGGCTATATTAACTTGCATGCCATGTAAAGGCAAAAGTGTGTCTGTTATCCTGTAATATGAGTAAGAGTGACTACGAGAAGGTGAGAACAAGATCTAAAGACAGTAAATTAGAGGATCTGTAGAAAATGAAAAAAAATATAAATGGCACAGTTTATACACATATTCCTTATATATTTGTTCATAATTAGGTTCATTATAAAATAATTTCAGAAATGATCTTACATAGTTGGTAAACACTATTCTTTGGAGTTTAAGAAAGCCCTTATTATTTGAACAAAAAGCACAAAGTCATTCTATAATTTGTTGCCAGTATGGGATTCATCTTCAGGCACTCACTCAACTGCACAATTTATTGACAGAGGTGGCTGAAAACTATTCTCAGCCTTCCAGTCCATTCTTTAACATCTTACAAGAGAGTTTGCAGAAAATTCTAAACCTCCCCTTCTGACTTTGGGTCCCTCTCATTCTAGAAGCTGTGATGAGGTGTGTGGTCTTCAAGGCCTAAGCATTGGCCCTGCCCTTCAAAATCAGGCATTAACTCATCTCCAGCTTAGGGTGCTGGGGGGAACTTCACAGTCAAAGGTAGATTGGTTAAAGCTAGTAAGAGTCTAAATGTCCATGGGGGTGACAAATAATGTAGCAAGTCAAATTACAGAAGTTATTACCACTGAGTATTCAGGAAGACAGAGCTAAACACATGGGCCAAAGATATGAGACTTTTACCTACCTTAGTAAAAACAAAGGACCCAAACTACTAAATGGTGCCAGATGTTTGACATTACAGAAAGATGCTGAAGTTAGCAGGACTGAAAGCTTTACTCACAGAGATTGGCAGAATCTGGGGTGAGAAATGCAGTTGGCTGAGGGTATGGCTAGTTGTGCTGGGGCCAGAAGATTCTCACCACCTGTCTTACCTCCATACATTTGGGGCAAACCTAGACATACAGCACTTCCATTCAGGCAAACATAGAGAAAGTCAGGAGAAGGTTTCTCCACCTGCTTCCCTCCATTGTCTGGTTACTGAGCACCCAGTTTCTCCAGGTTTTTCAGTCTTCATTGCAAAAGTCGATGAGTAGAGGCTACAACCACAACCCAAACAGGAAAGAGCAGGATGGGCTGATCTCATCTCTACCTCACTTCTCAGACTGTGGCGCTACACAGGCTGGGACGGATTCTTCCCTTGCCTCATTTCCTCACATCATGAGGAATTAAGGGATAATATGGACTTTCTGCTTTTAAGGGTGAGCCAGTACTTTAATTAGATCAGATCCCTTTGACTCTTGTTAAATTAGTAAATGAAAAAGTAGTTGAGCGGCAAATTAATCACATGTAGCAGTCTTGCCCTTTGCCCCTCTAGCAGATACTAGTTAAGGTTTTTAGGGGCAGGGGATGGTTTTTATAAACAACTGACCCAAAAAATGTTTCAGGCAAATTCACAGCACATTTCAGACTACAGACATTATAAACTTGTGATTTGGATGATATGTGTAGATTCCAGTTAAAACTAGGCAGTCAGTGGGGCGCCTGGGTGGCTCAGTGGGTTAAAGCCTCTCCCTTCAGCTCAGGTCATGATCCCAGGACCCTGGGATCCAGCCAGGCATCAGGCTCTCTGCTCAGCGGGGAGCCTGCTTCCTCCTCTCTCTCTGCCTGCCTCTCTGCCTACGAATGATGTCAGTCAAATAAATAAATACAATTCTTAAAAAAAAAAGTAGGCAGTCAATATATTGCATTACATATTGATGTGTGTATCAGTATTACTGAAAATGTATTACAGAAAAAAGAGTGGGGCGGCAGGGAGGTAGGGCAGGGAGGTAGGGCCTGGAAACCATACCCGGTGCAATCACTATAGCTTCTACAGAGAGATCTTAAGCAGCAAAATCTTGGTGTTGTTTTGTACAGAAATGGAGAAGAGTATTTTTTAAAAAGATTTTATTTATTTGAGACACACACACGCCCAGAGCGGGTGGGAGGGGCAGAGGGAGAACTCGCTGCTGAGCACTGGGCTCCATCCCCGGGTCCTGGGATCCTGACCTGAGCTGAAGGCAGACACTTAACTGACTGAGCTCCCCAGGTGCCCCAGAAATGGAGAAGAGTATTCAACCATATTTAAGACCAAAAAAAAAAAAAAAAAAAAAAAAAGTAGATGGTCAAATGCCTAAACGAGTAAGCAAGTAAGCCAATTGGTTTTAAAATAATTTTTTTGGTTTACTCTTTATTTTCCTTGGGCAGCAAAAGAATCACCACCATCCTCCTCTAATCACCTCACCACACTCTCTTACCTTATTGTTCTTATGTAAATTTGGTGCTCAATGATAAAGCAGCATCAAGGCACCTCAGTTCATTTGACCCCAAACTCCCGGTTATTCTAAATGCAGTAACAGTTCCTGAAGTGTGTCCTCTGATTGGGATTTTAAAGGAAGGATGTTCCTTTTCCTGTTTTTTGTTTTCTTTTGTTTGTTTTTTTAATTGTTTGTGTGATTCTGCAAAAATATTTAGCCATTTTCAGCTTCAGCGATAGTTTTCCAACTCCAGAATAAATATCTGGTTTTAAGCATTTCTGCTTCAGAATGAAATGAGAAGTGAAAGGCAGTAGCCATTAATTTATAATTAAACTGGTTGGGGAAAGGGAAGCACATGCTAGCAGATTGGTCCTCGGTGACTGATACGCTCCCCGCCGCAGAGCCACCGCTGGAGGATGATTTATTATTTTTCCTAATGTTTCTCATTCTCATTTCAGCCGAGAAGGTCACCCACAAAAGACAGAATCCAGAAAAGAGGCGACACGGTTTGACTTTGGGTCGCTCCCTTTCTTGCCTTTCTTTCCCTGAAATTTTAGTATTTACAGCTTACTCGTCTTAAATTTGACACTCAGCAGACATAAACTGTATTCTTGAGAGGATTAAAGGATTATTCACTCACTAGCTTAATCAGATTAATCAGAGATTTTGAACAAGATATCTAATGCCATTCACAAGATGAGACATGCGATCCCTGCCTGCTAGTTGAACTTGGCTTGAGCAGACACACACTTATGCACACGTGCACGCATACACATGTGCATGCGTGTACACACGAACATGTGGACTTATGTGCACCGATTTTAGTTGACACATTACAATATTATTATTTTAAAAGACTTACTTTTTAAATCACAATCAATTAGTTTCTGAGGCTTACTTTGCCTAATGACGGAAAGAAAAAAGGAAAGGTTATGTGCCTGTATGTTTTCTAATGCTACTTTGATTTGAATTACTTTATTTGTTATGGGTTGTTTGAATTTATTTTTAGAACTCCCTTTTTATTGTCATATCATTCTTTAAAAGAATCTCTTGAACTTTTTGAGAAAAAATTATTTCCATTTTTTTTTGCATTCATGTGAATAATCCTTGAAATCTGAATGTTCTTGACTTAAATTATAGTGCAAGAATAAGAAATATCCTGAAAAGTAGGTCTGTTGTTTATTATTAATACTAATATACAATAATAATTATTGTTTTCCATTTCTATTAGGAGCTTAAATTCTAGTCTACATTTATTTTAATAAGCTCCTTTTTTTCTGCAGGAACAAGAGGCAGCAAAGACCCTTTGTACTGCAGACATATTAAACCAGGATTGGGACCAAATGTCCCATTGTAGGAACTCTTATTTTAAAGCAGCCTGAGTTAAGCAGATTTGGTTGGATTTACTTTCATTTGGGTATTATGCTATTTGGGGGATAGACAATGTAATATTGGAAATATTCTCAAAGATAGGAAGAAACAAAATTAAAATGTGAGCCCTATTCGTCCACTCTATTAATCAAAATCACTTGATCCAGGAACCCCTGAGACCTCTGGGAGCAGAATTTAGATATAGCTCCACATCGGCCTTGTGGTTCAGAAGGCACTAGATTTTGATGTTCTTGCTTCTCAACTAGAATCTCATTTCTGACAGTTATACAATAATTACAAAATTTTCATTAATCTGTATACGACTCATTAATGTTTGGTGGTGATGCTGTCTTTAATATGGAATACCAATGCCTGATATTGAAATTCGTATTGTGTTTCAGCTGTTTTAAAGTCCCTTCACAGATTATAGCAACCCCATGAAGTAAAAAGGCATACCCAGACCTACTCTGTAAGTACAGAGAGAATAAGGGCTTTATCCAAGGTGAAGAAATGAATGAAGACCAAGATCTGAGTCCTGTGAGTCCAAAACAATGTCACTCTTCTGTTGTACTCTGGCTGTGGTTAGGATGGCACCCCCACCCTGTCCAAAGACTATGTATGTCTGTGTGTGTCTGTATGTATCTGTGTGTCCATGTGGGTATGAGATGTGACACAGCTTGGTAAGTTTATAGGTATGGTTTGTAGCAATGAAATAAAATAAACAAGAGTTCCAACTTAGTAAACACTGGAAACCAAAAGCAGCCAATAAAATTGAACAATGAATTTTGGTCAGTTTCCTGGGCTTTGGAGCTGCAATAAGGTTTTATGGCTGCGGCATAGCCAAAAGTTAGCAAAGGATGAAATCACAAGCTACGATCTCACAGCCTTTGGAGGCTTTGGGGCGCTGGCTAAATTTTATAATGGGTACGGTGTGCCAGACACGTTCTCTCCATGAGCTCATTTGACCCTGAGGTAGGTTCCTCATTGTGGTCCCCTTCTTCAGGTGGAGGAACCGTACACAGAGAACTTAAGTGAGGTGCACAAGGTCACAGGGTAACTATACAGCAGGCAGAGGCTAGAACTGGATGTGGGACGTCTATTTCTCATCACCCTGCCCACTTTTCTGCCATCAAATATGCATTTACAGTTCTGGCTGCTTTACAAAATATGATTTCTATGCTGACACCTAATAATCTTCATTATTGCTCTGGGTATGTGTTTGCAGCCCCATCTTTTACCAGAAATAGTGATGTTTGTGCTAGTTTCATTTCAGTCCTACAAAGCTTTCCAGGCTTAGTACATGCCAGACACATGTGAGATGTGTTCTCGTTCATCTCCGTGAATCCTCACTTGGGAGACTGGAATTGCTTTGCTCATGGCAGAGAGAGGATATGCAACTGGGAGAAAGGGAACAACCTGTCCAAGGACAAGGCCAAGTAAAAAGGCTGGATTTTCATCCCAGCCTGATTCCATGACCTCGTGGCCTCTCCTTGCACCTGAACACGAAGCCATGGCCTGGGGCGCAGTGCACTGAGCTTCTGATCCTAGCCTTACTAGAAGTGACATAACCAGAACTCAGAATTGAAACAGTCCATGTTTTAGATTTTCAGGATTATCTTCTCCTCACCTGGGGGCCAGGAAGTCTTCTTCTCTCTTAGCACTTTTCATTCACGCTAAGTAATCAAACCTAGTTTCCCTTTCCTTTTCCTGGACCTTGGTCATCTTTTTTCACTTTATGAAACCACATTTTTATTTTTAACCAAATGTACTTTATTATTTCTGATTATCTTACTTCCTTTTGGAGAGAGTGAACTGTACTTGGTGATTTGGTTTTCAATGTGCATCTCTATAAATGGTTTTATGCCAAAACTACAGAACAGTGTGATGTCACAAAGATCCAGATCATCTGTTTAACTAGGTAGAGGTAATTCCACTCTCTTTCTTATCTATGCTGGGTAGAAAAATGATAAACACTGGGGAGAATGATGATTATTTTTTTTAAAAAATCCATATGCTTAGTTATTTGAGACTATGTTCAGGCACCAGGAATTATTTTAGATAGGCATGACTAATTTTTTTCTTGTTTGTGTTTTTTAACTACCATTTGCAAACTATCTCAAGTATAGCGAGCACACAAGCCTATCAAATCCATACATTTCCTGCACACACCCACATCCTCACACAGCGTTATGGGCACACATTTCCTCATGCCCCAAAGTGGGGAAAAAAAAAAAAAGCTAGTTTAAGAATAGGAGTGTATCATAAACTTCGCCTCTGAAAAAACATTTGCATTGGATTAAAACCACACTAAATTTCTTCCTCTAAAAATATTTGCTAGTAACTTTATTCTGTTAAGAACAGTTGTTTTAGTTCACAGAAAAAGTAAATAAAGCCATACCATCATGGAAGTTGATGGGTTTATAAATGATAGGCTTACAAAAATGAAATTGGTCTGTTTGATACATTATCTTCTGTTCAAATATATACTGGAAAGGTCCCCGATATGTCACCTAAACGTGGGAAATAACTTTTAGACTTGGTTTAGGAAGTGATTTGGACTCAATTACTTTTTGAGGAGATGTGGAGGTGTAAACAGCTTGGCGTGTGTGTGTGTGTGTGCGCGCGTGTACGCGTGCATGCACACTGGCACTCTCCAGTGGGATTTCTCTTTGTTTTTTTTTTTTTTTTTTTTTTTTTTTTAACACTTACTCTGTTATAGCTTATCCTGCATTCCCAACAAAGGCTGATACTTCTGGAAGAGCCAGGTGTGTAGGAGATGGTCTCAACTTAGCATTTCCAGAGAGAGAAAGCCTATGCTATTTTAACCTAAACCAAAAGAGATTATGTGACTTAGTGAGCTCCAGGATCACTTAGATTTAGTGTCTGAGCAAAGATATTGGATTTCAGTAATTGCAACCATTGGGTTAACATGGCAGTTATTTGAAATGAATGACCCATGTAGGTGAGAGTTCAAGGTTATGGGTCACTGGAAACCTTCATCTGCTTTCTGCATACAGCTGCTCACTGGTAGAGGCTTTCCTACAGAGCTGGGGTCTCCTGGTGGCAAAGGCCAATCCCCACTCTCTTTCCTTCTCTCTTCTATGTGTGTGTGTGTGTGTGAGAGAGAGAAAGAGAGACAGAGATAGAGAGAGAGAGAGGGAGGGAGGGAGAAAGAGACAGCGGGCGTTGAGGTGGGGAGAGAAAGCAGGTGAGAAGAGACTTCTCAGCTGGAGTGTATGTTTTATGGTAAAAGGAATGCAGATAGAGGACGTGGGCTTCTTAGTGAATTGGCTTATAAACACTTTTTAAAATTAATTAATTAATTAATTAATCACAAGCCTGCTGCTGCTGGAGTTACAGACATGTCCTACATCTGGACCTCGGTGGCGTATTTATATGCAAAAACCAAAACCTACATTTAAGAAGTCTGTGCTTTACTCTATGTAAGTTACACCTATAAAACCAGAAAGTTGAGAATCTCCTCATTTACAACTAATGTGTACTTCATTTGTCAGTATTTATTTTTTTGCACGTGTTACAGTTCCACTTTGGTTTCTTCTGGACCCCCTTGGAATCCCTAACCGTCAGTGACAGAGGTGGTTTGGGAGAAGACCCACATTTTTACCAGCTGTCGCTTGGATCTCTGAGCTGCGCTCGGTCCGCTCTCCAGACGCGCCCGCAGCCTCCCGCGTTCTATCTCTTTCCCCACGGAGAATTTACTAAAAGGACTTTTTCTAGAGTTCCCCTGTCCTTGGGGTTTTCCATTCTTGCTCGGTCACCAGCACTGACGTCCCTTACATCTGACACACAGGTGGTCCTCTTCCTGGCGTTATTTTAGAACAACAACATAGAATTTTAATATACATCAAGTGAACCCCAACTTCTTATGTGGAACAGAATGAGGGCAATACAGTGGAAGCCATGATCCCAATACCAGAAAATAGGATCACGTTGCTCAATTTCCAAGCGGCAGGCCCTCCTGACCTCTTTAAAAAAAAAAAAAAATCAACACATTAATGATGCATTTGCAAACACACTTGTTTTTACCTTGTGCTGACAGTCAGGCCAGTGGGAGGTTAGAGAAAAGAAAGGAAGGCAAGGCAAGGGGGGATTGCCTTGCGGTCTGGTCTTGGATTTCCTGGCCTTGGCTGATGGAATTATTGTTTATTTTTTTAATTTTCAGAGGTAGGCTGATGACAGCTGAAGAAGACTGTATTTGCTGAGGAGCAGCATGATGGTAGAGAGGAGCAGAGCTCCTGAGGGAGACCTAATGGTTCCTCTCCTTCCTGCACGGAGATAAAGACTTATAATAAGCGTGCATGTTCACCATCTGGCTCTGTGCATGTGGTCCTTATGGAGGGGAGAGCAGCACAATCTGTAAATGATCAGAAGCCATGGCGCTCTCTCCAGAGAATCCACGATGCAATCAAGGTGACAGATGGCATGGCCACTGCTGTGGCCTCGTGGAGAAGATCAAAATCACCTTCAATAAACTCTGACTGAAATGGGCACGAGCACCTCAAAAAAGTCAGTTTGTCAGTCAAACTGCGACAGCAAGCTGCATTGGGGAAACATAGCGGCCAGCTCTCTGTTTTCAATCGTTTCCGTCTGACTGGGCCTGAACTATGATCTTTCTCAAATTGTCCTTTCTGTTTAGCTGAAGCAGGCCAGCAAATTGCCAGATTCATCGCTTTATTGAAGAAAATTGAAAACACGATGTCCTCAATTCCGGGGACGCACGGCTGGCAGGTGCTGGGACACCCAAGCACTGCGAGTGGGTCCCTGTGTCTTCAGCCCAAGTTTGCTCAACTTGAGGCAGATTTTTGGAAATGAAAATAAAATACAAATGTACGCCTGGCCTGAAAAGATCAGCTGGCAATGGATATATGAAGCGTTTTAGGTGTCCAATAAATGTGTGTCGAATAAACACATGCTTGAAAAGAGAAGGAGGAAGGAAGGAAGGAAGGAAGGGAGGGAGGGAGGGAGGAAGGAAGGAAAGAAGGAAAGAAACGGAGTCGCAGAAGTCTCGGTGTTGTTGGTACCATGTATTTTAAGAGCAGGCTGCCTTAATGATGGATTTGGTATTTGTTTCCTTTTCTATGCACGTTTATCGAATATAGGTTTGTGAATTTGAAGTCTTGGACTTAAGGTCAATGAAATATAGGTGTATTATTTTGTCCTGAACAAATTGTGTGGGATTTGTGGAGTCAGCAAGTCTGGACAAATTTCCATTTTTGACCCCCCTCCACAATGGAAACCTTTCCGAAAACTCCACCTGTTCATAAAATGAGAGGGGAATGAGTCAAAGTTACCTGCAGGGGGAGAAAAACGCAGTACTGTTTTTGAGAGGTAAGGGCACTGATTTTGGGTCAAAGATGATGGATCTGAATCAAAGGACTCTCCCCCTCCTTCTCCCTCCTCCTCCCTTGGCAGAGTTCCACTGTTGTTCTCCCTCCCAAGCTCCAGGAAATGTACATTTCAAGCAAAAGTCCACTTACCCAACCATGTAGTTTCCTAGGAACCCAATATCTGTTATCTGATCCTGGCGTTTTATATTATTAAGCCTGTGAGATCTCAAAATTCCACCATCCCATGGATTTTCCTGCTCGAAACTATAATCTTCTAGATCTGCATACTTACTTGCTTTATTTAAAATCCAAATCTTTCTCCTGCCCCTGACTCCATCATCCATGTTGTAAATTATTTGTTTGACAGCTGAGAACTTATCTTATTGTTGAGTCATGGATTCTCATAAAGGCTTTATTCCTCTCATAGGTGCTTCTGAATGCTAATGTCCTGCTCTGGAGATTTACAAACACAACCAGAGAGCTTCATCCTGCAATCTGTGTACACAAAACAAGAGAAATTACAAGAAAGGACTCACATTTTGAATAAAAAGGAATAGCAAGAACTTTGCATATGGATTGTCTTTTCACAGAAGTGTAGCTGACGTGGTCCATATCACAGTGATAAGCAGTCTCCAGGATCAGAGGACTCAATTCATTCAGGAAATATCTACTGTGCACTGAACACCTGAGAGGTAGAGGCTGTGCTAGGAGCCTGTGCTAGGTAGGTTGTGCTAGAGGTAAGCTGTGCTAGGCTGTGAAATAAAACTTCACAAGGAAAAGTAGGTAGCAAACAGCTCTTTTATGGGCACTCTGCTCTGCCTACCCCTTCCCCCTCGGGCTGGCTCTCCAGTGAGCAGGCTTCCCATTTTCATCAATAATAGCTCTGTGGAACACACGGCCGGACATGTGAGCTGGTGGGAGCCCGCTGTCCTGTCCCCGGGGACGCTGTGTGTATTCTCCGTCCTGGCCTTTGGCTCTCAGGGATGACAGGTTCTGTAACAGACAAGTTCATCAACACGGCCACAAGGAGGGGTGGCAGGACGGGTCATTTCTGTCTTTTGGTAGCGGCGTCTTCCCCAGACTCTGGTTGCTAGCGGAGACTAATGCTTCAGAAAGGCAAACGTTGTCTAACCCTTTTCCTTAAGGAAAAAAAATTGTACGCGGAAATTCAGCAGTGGGGGCCAGAAGGTTAAAGTAGCTTATACTGGAACATGCCTGTTTTGAGACATACATCCAGCCTGAAGTTCAGTTATCAGAGTTTGGTCTGAATTCCGATCATTATGTTCTTTCTCGTCCTCTCTGGTGCGAGTGTCACCTGATCATATGCAAATCGCATAATCATATATCATTACTCCCTTTTATGTCCTATCATTCCCAAATAATAAATTGCTTAGAGTAAGTTTCTTTGTGGTAATTTGAAAACGTGGGTCTGTCTGCAGAAATTTTTCTTTATAATGCCGCGTATACGCACTTGCCCTGTATCTCCATGGGTGCGGCAAGTAAGAGGATGTACAAATCTCCGCATTTCATCAGCTCTGAACCCCAGAAGGAGAATGGCTTGTGGCCATAATATGGACAGTAGCGCCAACATGGACTGAGCAATTTTTAATCACGGAGAGTGCTTTTTATTTTTATTTTTTGGAAGATTGGTACAATGCTGAGAGGAGAGGTTACACAAATTTTAAAACATGCACGCAAAAAGATAGGCAATCTACTAAAAACTCAGCATTCCAAAGCCTGCCATTGGCCTGAAGTGACCTTGTGATAACGTTAATAAATGAATGCTTATTTACCATGCTCTCTGTGCACCAAGGCTTTTAGACTTCTTTTCAGGAGGACAGTGTTGTCTTATGTCAAAAGAGGGAGTGGATGGTTCACTACTGGTTAAAGAGCTCAGACATAGCTCTACTGATTTTGGAATAAAGACATGGAATACCGTTCTGCATGTGCAGGATGTTGTCATATGAGCTCACATCAGCTCTAAGTTGGGTATTTGGAGGCTACTGCACTTTTTGGTCAGATTCCAACTTGAACCTTCAATGTCTGCATTTTTTCTGTCCCTGCATCTCTGAACAAGAATGCCACCCAGTACATCCAATGCTTCTCAAGCTGTTGGTGTGTCTTTGCTCAGCTCTCATGATTTTTTTATTACCAGATTTGTGACTTAAAAAAAATCTCTCAGCAAAATATTTCTGTTATAGTATGATGTCTTGCTTAGGAAGGTAATAAACATTTTACAGAACACATTCATGTTTTGTTCTACTGATTGCTTGACACTCATTTTAATCTTCATCAGGCTAGCAGTGAGCAAATGGTTCCTGTTTCCCATTAGATCCCCCCCACCCTCCATAATGAATGAGCTGTTGATTTGATTTCAATGAATTCTCTTTGGTGAACAATCCACTATCACAAATGCTTTCTTTGGTCGTAAAACCATGTAACCTCCATACACAAAAGTTATTTCTGGGGCATTTTGTGCTGGTGGAGGGCATAGTTCTTTTCTTGGGGGCTCTTATAGTCAGCAACAACCTGCTTTCCTTTCTTCCCCATGACACTTAAAAAATTATTAAGGTAGTTTTTTTCCATGCTTTCTCCGTAAGTGTGCAAAGACTCTAAAGTAGAGCTGTCCAAGAGACATATGACGCAGTCTACAAATGTGGGTCACATATGTAACTGCTCCTTTTCCATGAGCCATATTTTTATGAAGTAAAAAAAAAGGAAATGAAATTAATTTTGATAACAAATCTTATTTAATCCATTGGTTAAATAAAATGCAGTATATCCCTATGGTAGAATATTTTTTAGTCATAAAGGGAATGAAATTCTGATACATGATATAACATGGACGGATCTAGAGAACATTATGCTGAATGAAATTGGCCAGATGCAAAATTACAAATTGCATAATTCCATACGAAGTATCTAGAGTTGTCAAAATGAAGGCATGAAATAGACATGTGGTTACCAGAGACTGGGGGGAGGGAGAAATGGGGAGTTAGTATTTTATGGGTACAGAGTTTCAGTTTGGGAAGTAGAAAAGTTCTGGAGATGGAGTGGTGATGTTTGCACAAAAATATGAATGTTCTTTACGCCACTGAATTGTACACTTGAAAAGGATTAAAACAGTGTATTTTGTATTATGTATATTTTGCCATACGCATACACACACACACACACACACACACACACACACACACACACACGGATCAAATTATGTTGTTCTTTTGCTCAGAAAAATGCACGGTCTTCCCACCGCATTATGAACAACATCCAAGTACCCTGTCCATGAATGTTGCATTCCTGCGATCTGGTGCCTGACTTCTTCAGCTACATTTTCCTGCCTTTGCTACTTACAAGCTGTGTGTTCTTCTATAATTTATTTAACCTGCCTCAGCTTCAGCTTTTTTATATAAAAATTTGGGATAGTTTCAGGATCTATCAATCACATGGGATTGGTGAGGATTAAATGAAATGATGCATGTAAACTGCTTCATACAGTGTCTGCCTGCACGTAGTAAAGTCTAAATAAAGGTTTAGCTCTTAAAATTTGTAGTTGTTGGGTGCCTATTTTTTTCACATCAAATATGAATACAGAGGGGGCAAGTATATGTCACAGGGTTATTTGTTGAAGAGCAGTCAACGGAAGCATACGGACATGGGCTTTAGGACAACTTGATCTAACATGGGGATGAATACAAAGCTTTCTCTAGAACCGGTTACTCCCCTGTAGCCAGCATTTCACAGTGGTCACTTCTGTTGAGCTGCCTGTAGGGCATTTCTCACGCTTTTAGCAGAGCATCAACACTGGCTAAAGAAAACTGAGCACTATCAGAAGTATCCGATATTTTCACAGCTCAGCACTTTCTCACGAACAATATTTAGAGGGAATTGTTTCACCAAATTGGGCAGACACAACTTGCACTCACAAAGAGCTATTGCCGGGGAGCCTGGGTAGCTCAGTGGGTTAAAGCCTCTGCCTTCAGCTCAGGTCATGGTCCCAGGGTCCTGGGATGGAGCCCTGCATCGGGCTCTCTGCTCAGCAGGGAACCTGCTTCCCTCTCTCTCTCTGCCTGCCTCTCTGCCTACTTGTGATCTCTGTCAAATAAATAAATAAAATCTTAAAAAAAAAAAAAGAGCTATTTCCAAGGGAGCGTTCATTTGCATGGGTCCACCTTGAACCTCCTTCCCTCCCCACAGCCAAGACCTGGGACAACAGGTCAAACAGGCTCACCTCTCTGTATGTGACCAAATCATCTTGTTTTTACCAAGATGAAAATTTGAATCAATAGGATGTGATCATGTCATAGTATTTTTTCCTTTTTCTTTTTTTTCTCCATCCCATCCTCCCTCCCTCCTTTTCTTTCTCTTTTCCAACAAAAACTTAGAAGCAACCCTTTGAGTCATTTTTAGGGCAATCACTTTGTTTCTTGCTACATGCATGGTGAATGCAGTCCATCCCTGAACATCTACAGTCTGGAGACCTTCGTTGTCGGTTTTCGGTTTTCGAGGGCTCCTTTTCTGTTTTGTCCCACTGCCTGGCATTTGGTGATTTTCTCTAGAGTTGGATAGCATCAAG